GAAAAAGGCCGGGGTGGGCTGAAAAGGCATGGGTGGGATGAAAAGGCATGGGTGGAATGAAAAGGCATGGGTGGGATGAATAATGCAAAAAGAGCAGAGATTAGCAAACGAAACAGTGGGAGTTGGAGGCACTGAGGAAAGGCTGTTGTTGATGTTGAAGCGACAAAAGGAGTGAAAAGATGGAAAACAGGAGTGAAAAGGCGGAAAACAGGAGTGCAAGGGCGGAAAACAGGAGCGCAAGGGCGAAAAAACAGGAGTGCGGCAAGGGCGAAAAACAGGAGTGCAAGGGTGGAAAACAGGAGTGCAAGGGCGGAAAACAGGAGTGCAAGGGCGGAAAACAGGAGTGCAAGGGCGGAAAACAGGAGCGCAAGGGCGAAAAAACAGGAGTGCGGCAAGGGCGAAAAACAGGAGTGCAAGGGTGGAAAACAGGAGTGCAAGGGCGGAAAACAGGAGTGCAAGGGCGGAAAACAGGAGTGCAAGGGTGAAAAAAAGGAGAGGAAGGGGGGGAAGCAGAAGTGTACAGGTGGAAAGCAGGAGTGCAAGGGCGGAAAACAGGAGTGCAAGGGCGAAAAAACAGGAGCGCAAGGGCGAAAAAAAAGGAGTGCGGCAAGGGCGAAAAACAGGAGTGCAAGGGTGGAAAACAGGAGTGCAAGGGCGGAAAACAGGAGTGCAAGGGCGGAAAACAGGAGTGCAAGGGCGGAAAACAGGAGCGCAAGGGCGAAAAAACAGGAGTGCGGCAAGGGCGAAAATCAGGAGTGCAAGGGTGGAAAACAGGAGTGCAAGGGCGGAAAACAGGAGTGCAAGGGCGGAAAACAGGAGTGCAAGGGTGAAAAAAAGGAGAGGAAGGGGGGGAAGCAGAAGTGTACAGGTGGAAAGCAGGAGTGCAAGGGCGGAAAACAGGAGTGCAAGGGCGAAAAAACAGGAGCGCAAGGGCGAAAAAACAGGAGTGCGGCAAGGGCGAAAAACAGGAGTGCAACGGTGGAAAACAGGAGTGCAAGGGCGGAAAACAGGAGTGCAAGGGCGGAAAACAGGAGTGCAAGGGCGGAAAACAGGAGTGCAAGGGTGAAAAAAAGGAGAGGAAGGGGGGGAAGCAGGAGTGTACAGGTGGAAAGCAGGAGTGCAAGGGCGGAAAACAGGAGTGCAAGGGCGAAAAAACAGGAGTGCGGCAAGGGCGAAAAACAGGAGTGCAAGGGTGAAAAACAGGAGTGCAAGGGCGGAAAACAGGAGTGCAAGGGCGGAAAACAGGAGTGCAAGGGCGGAAAACAGGAGTGCAAGGGTGAAAAACAGGAGAGGAAGGGGGGGAAGCAGGAGTGTACAGGTGGAAAGCAGGAGTGCAAGGGCGGAAAACAGGAGAGGAAGGGGGGGAAGCAGGAGTGTACAGGTGGAAAGCAGGAGTGCAAGGGTAAGTATGAGAGCAGTGGGGTGTGTGAGGGGGGCAGTGGTGGGTATGAGAGGAGTTGGGGGTATGAGAGGGGTGCGGGGAATGAGGGGAGTGGGGAAGTATGGGAAGAGTGGAGGGTATGAGAGAAATCGTGGGTGCTTAGGGAGTGAGGGGTATGGGAGTAGGGGATAGAAGAGGCGTGAGGGGTATGGGAGTAGGGGATAGAAGAGGTGTGAGGGGTATGGGAGTAGGGGATAGAAGAGGAGCGAGGGGTATGAGAGGAGTGGGGCCTATAACAGGGGTGAGGGATAAGAGTGGGGGAGGTATGACAAGAGTGGGGTTTTGGAGAGCAGTGGGGGGATATTTCAGAATGCATATCTCAGAAGCCGTCTCTCATATCCAATCTCTCATAAGGCATTCATCAGAGTGAATATCTCTGCTGTAGCCAGGAGTGCAAGGGGAAATCCGTTTTGAGATGGTCTTGAAAAAACTTATTTCAAAAGTGAGAGGGAAGTTGGGAGGCATGGAAACTGAGAGGACTGTTGGGCAGGCAGGTGTGCAAGGGAAAGAGCTCGCCCCGGCCAAGCTGCTCTCACCCGCCCACCCTGCTCTCACTCGCCCACCCTGCTCTCACTCGCCCACCCTGCTCTCACCCGCCCACCCTGCTCTCACCCGCCCACGCTGCTCTCACCCACCCAGCCTGCCAGGCGAGTGCAGCAAGGGAGCGAGCATGAGCGCCCCTCATCGCTGCACTGCCACACAGTTGGCATACACACGTCGTGGCTAACGTGGCATCACATAGATGGACATACTGCACGGGTACATACATGGTACATCCTCGTTCGTGAGCCTTGCCCCCGCCCCTTCTGCAAACCCCTTCCAGCCTCCCCTGAACCCCCCTAGTTCCCCCAACCCCCCTCCTTCCCCCCTATCCCCTGAAGCCCCTTCACTCGCTTCCCTGCACGATCCCCCTCCGCCTCCCCTCGTCCCCATACTCATTGGTTCCCAGCAAGGACGTCTCGCCACTTTGCCGTGATGCCACGTGCATGGATGAGCCCAAGGCCGACCAAGCATGCATCTTGCACGCGCGTGCAATCCTAACGACTTTTGAGGCGCCTCGAGAGCATGCAAACGCACGCGCGCCCAGGCATGCGATCCTTGCGCTTCAGAACCCAAGTGTTGGGCAATGGGCATGACAGCAGGGACGCCGATGGGATGGGAGGAGATGTGGTAAGTGAGCGGGGACCACGTGATTGGCAGAGGCCGAGAGGGGTTGGGACCGTTTGAGAGGGGGTTGGCACGAGAATCGGGCAGGACAGCAAATGCTTGGAACGGCGTTCGGTGAAAACGAGGGACGCAAACGGTTGTGTGCGCTCGTCTCACGTGCGTCGCGATGTTGACTCTGATCTCCCTCGGTTCTCTGTGAAAGCCACCTCACACACCATCGCACAGCTTAGACGGTACAAACTACTGCTCGCACCTCACGCTCGCATGCAGGCTGGGGAAGGGAAACGAAGCTCGTCGGCTTCTAAGGCGCCTGGCGCACGTGTCGGATCCAACGGCCAGTAAAACGCTACGGGGCCATCAGTTTTTGAGTTGCGAGTTTTTTTAATGTAGGCTCGTATTCCGGATCCGCTGCCATAAAACCACTGTGTCGCGGGTACCGTAGGGAACGAGGATATGAGATTTGGACGGACAGAGCCGGACGGATGGAGGTGGATTCCCGGCTCGCCTTGCACTGCAGCCGAGAAGCCGAGTCGCGTCTGGGTTCCCCTTCGGACAGTGCATTGGACTGCGGTCCTGCTGGTCATTTCGATCACAGTCTGCGACGCTACCCTCTGCGATATACCCTCTGCGATGTTACCCTCTGCGATATACCCTCTGCGACGCCCTCTGCGATATACCCTCTGCGACGCTACCTTCTGCGACGCTACCCTCTGCGACGCTAACCTCTGCGACGCTAATCTCTGCGACGCTATCTTCTGCGACGCTACCCTCTGCGACGGTAACCTCTGCGACGCTACCCTCTGCGATGCGGGCTTGGGACAGAGCGACGGAGTTGCTAACGGCGCTGGCGGAGACCACTGCGACTTGCATTGGGAGGAAAACTGTAAGCCTCTTATATCTACTTCGTCGCCGCGTCTGCGACAGTACCAGCGACAAGCGATCGCCATGTTGTTATCTGTGGAGTCTAGCGCAACGGCGAAAATTTGGAGTGGCGGCAGGCATGGTAGGAAGTGACACCAATGTGGTGGTGTAGTGCTTGCCTCGCTCTACATAGAAACGCGAAATTCGCATCTCGAAGAGTCGAACTCGCGTCGCATAGATGGGCCAAACGACCCTGTGTGCAGAAAGCGAGCTGCCAAACCCAGCCAGGACAGAATGACACGTGGCACTGTAAGCCCATGGGACATTACAGCACGTGTTGAACCATTGGAAACATAAACTCCACCTCGACATGTTTCAGACATACTTATCTGGGCGGGGTTTATCGGTGATCACGAAGGCCGATGGTCTAGGGGTGGGCCCGCCATTGCACTTCGGCCGGCCCTACTCCTAGCACGCCGGAACTCCCGGTGATGCACGTCATTATTTGGGGTGGGCCCGCCATTGCACTTCGGCCGGCCCTACTCCTAGCACGCCGGAACTCCCGGTGATGCACGTCATTATTTGTGGCAGCGGGGGCTCGCGTTCGCGCGGCCCGTACCAACATAATATCGAAATGGGATTGAGATATAAAATGCAAAGTCTGAATTTCCGAATGCATCTAACAAAATATAACCTGGAAATTGCTTGTTCATCATGCAGTCCGAAAGTTAACATCATGTGATAATTCAACATCACTGTTATAACGAAGCACCATCATTTGGGGTCAGGTTTCGGCCGATAAGCCCACAATGTCGACCACACAATGAGACTCACACCCTACAGGTGACAGGCATTGCAGGCCTTGCGACAAGCCCCGGGTGACCCTGGGGTACCAACCATGTACCCCTTGTACTGCTCCGATGTGCAGTGGCCCTCCTTGGCCCACGCCTCACAGCTGCACATTGGGGGGAGGGGGTGGAGCAGGGTGTGTGGTAAAATACGTGAATGTCCGAACAGGGAAGAGAGGGCGAGGAGGCACCATGAGGTTCAGTCATCTGTCAGGGCAGGCGAAAGCAGGAGGCAAGCAGGTGAGGCCGCAGCACCTAGAGACACACTCTATGCTCACCATGGAGGTTACTGTATCCCACCCTGCCAGGCCCCGATGACTCACGTAGCCCTCACACACATTGACGCCCCGCACACCATCGAGTGCGCATGCTTGTGCTGGCAGGCAGGCAAGGTGGCAGCACCCAGCAGCACCACCATGTTGCCCATCTGCATCCATTCTAACGCCCCTCCATCACTCACATTCGCTACCCACACAACCAACCATCACTCACTAGATGCATTGCTGTCCTGGCAGGAAGCAGCAACACAGCATCAACCAGAGGCACAGGAACGTCGCCTATGCGGATCCACTTGGGTGTGCTGACCACTTGGTGGCCTCCACACAGGGCACGCGTGGTGTAAAGAGTGCCAGCAGCACTCAGTGGCACGGGGAAAACTGCCCCACACATCCAATCCGCACTCACTAAGCGTTGCTGTCCTGGCAGGCAGCGGTGACAGCATCACCCAGAGGCACCGTGACATCACCCATGCGGATCCACTTGGGTGCGGACCACTTGATGCCCTCCACTACCGGGCATGCATGGTGCAGCGAGGAGGGGTCAGGGGAGCCGTCTGGATGCATGTTGAAGAAGAGCAGGGCGTCTCCCTTGATGGGTTTCACTGGTGGGGGACGGGGGAAGAAGCAGTAGGGGGAGGGAAGAAGCAGTAAGGGGAGGGAAAGAGGGGTGAGGAGGGAACAGTCAGGAGCAAGAGGCAGGGGGGAGAGAGGTCACATGATGCCCTCCACCATGGGGCACGCATGGTGCAGCGAGGAGGGGTCAGGGGAACCGTCTGGTTGCATGTTGAAGAAGAGCAGGGCGTCGCCCTTGATGGGCTTCACTGGTGGCCGGGGGGAGGGGAGGGGTGGAGAAGGGTGGAGAGGGTTGGAGAGGGGCAGGGGGGGGAGGGTAGGTTGGGCGGGCAGGACCACTTGATGCCCTCCACCATGGGGCACGCATGGTGCAGCGAGGAGGGGTCAGGGGAACCGTCTGGTTGCATGTTGAAGAAGAGCAGGGCGTCGCCCTTGATGGGCTTCACTGGTGGCCGGGGGGAGGGGAGGGGTGGAGAAGGGTGGAGAGGGTTGGAGAGGAGCAGGGGGGGGAGGGTAGGTTGGGCGGGCGGGACCACTTGATGCCCTCCACCATGGGGCACGCATGGTGCAGCGAGGAGGGGTCAGGGGAACCGTCTGGATGCATGTTGAAGAAGAGCAGGGCATCTCCCTTGATGGGCTTCACTGGTGGCATGGGGAAGGGGAGGGGTGGAGAAGGGTGGAGAGGGGTGGGGAAGGGCAGGTGAAGAGGAGTAGGTTGGAACGAGTTGATGCCCTCCACCACAGGGCACGCGTGGTGTAAGGAGGCGGGGCAGGGGAGCCGTGTGGATGCATGTTGAAGAAGAGTAGTGCAATCGCCCTTGATGGGCTTCACTGGTGGGGGAGGGGCGGGGCAGTGGGGGGGGATGGGGAAGGAGGGGTGGGGATGGAGGGAGGGTTTTGCAGGCAGGGAATGATAGGGAGGGATAGGCAGGCGGGGGATGCGCATCCTGGGCACACGTGGTGCAAGGAGGTGGCGTCAAGGGAGCCGTGTGGATGGGCTTCACTCGTGTGGGGGAGGGGAGGATGGCGAAAGGCGGGGAGGGGTGGGGAGGGGCATGGGGAGAGGAGTAGGTTGGAAGCACATGGTGCCCTGCCCTCCACTACAGAGCAAGGTGACTTTTGAGTCGACTCAAAAGTCACCACATGGTGCCCTGCCCTCCACTACAGAGCACGCGTGGTGTAAATAGGCGGGGCAGGGGAGCCGTGTGGATGCATGTTGAAGAAACGCAGGGCATCACCCTTGATGGGCATCACTGGTGGGAGAGGGGCGGGACGGGTGGGGAGGGAGGGGTGGGGGAGGGGGTGGTGTAGGGAGAGAGGGGAGGGGACGGATGGGTTGAAAGAGAGTGGCAAGGGGGGAGGGATGGGGAAAAAGAGAGGGCAGAGAAGTGGGGAGGGAGAGGCAGCGGAGGAGGGGTGGGGAGGTGCGGCAGGATTGGAGGCGCAGGGAGGGAGGATTGGGTGTCGTCCCTTCTCTTCACCCCTTCCCTCTCCCTCACCAGCTTCCACTCCCTCGTCCTCTGCACTCTGTTCTCACCCTCTCGCGAGTCCAACCACGTGTCGTCCTTGGGTGAGGGGAAGGCTGCCTCGGCCCCCTTGTAGTCACGTTGCTGAGCACATGAGCACCGCTGAGCACATGAGCACCGCTGAGCACATGAGCACCGCGGAATACCCTTGCCACAGCTGCCCGTCAACCCCACCAATGCACCAGCACCATCACCCCCAGCACTGACCAGCGAGGGCGCCCTTGGCGCAGTCAGACCACGAGTCATCTTTCGGCGTGTCGTCTTTCACGGTGGGGAAGACGGTCTCTCCACCCTTGGTGACGTTGCTGAGGTACATGAGCAGCGTGGCGTAGCGGTGCCCGCCCAGCTGTGTGTTCACGGGGTCCGAGAAATAGTCCAAGTGGGCGTCGTACTTCTGCCCGATGGCATACCGCAGGACCTGAGTGCGGTGGAGTGCGGAGGAATGGGGTGGAGGGGGGTGGGGTGCGGTACAGGATGGGCTTCTGGTGCACAGTCATACTCCAGCACAGCACCTGTAGCAGCGCGTTGACGGGATGGGAGAAATAGTCCACATGGGCGTCGTACTTCTGCCCGATGGCATACCGCAGCACCTGAGGGGAAAGGAGTGCGGTGCGGTGGTGTGCGGTGGAGTGGGGCAAAAAGAATGGAGTGCGGTAACTGACGGACTTCTGGTGTGCAGCGGCAGTGCAGCAGGTGCAGCTGTGTGCTGACGGGGTGGGAGAATCAGTCCAGACGTGGGTCGCACTTGTGTCCCATGCGCGGGTGGGACTTGAGGCGCATAGCTGTGACGCAGCACTTGGAAAAGAAGGGGACTATGCTCGTAACACTTGTTAGAATTCTCAAGAGTGATACACGCATGGGGCAGGACGGGGAAGAGGGTGGCGCGAGGAGGATTAGAGCAGAGGAAGTGGAAGTGAGGAGCGCAATGCGGCCCGTGCTGTGTGGCAGCAGCTGAGGCAAGTGGTGGGCATGTGGTGGGCATGTGGTGGGCATGCCAAGTCACAGCACCTAGCAGTGGCATGCTAGGTCTAATCCGCATTTGCCCCAATCTTGCCCGGTACCTGCAGAGCCTCCTGATTGGCCACGGGGAGGAACGTCCACTCGCTGACGCGCTGCTCTATGGCTCGGATGACGTCATCCTCGCCTTTAGTGAGGAACATGCCTGTGGACGTGCGCACCTCGCTCACCACGCTCTTCCCGCTGCTGCCGTCCGCCACTGCCGACCTGCCGGGGAGGTGGGGGTAGGGGGGGGGGGGAAGGATGGGGGAGTGGGAAGCGGGAAAGGGGAAGCGGGAAAGGGGAGGTGGGAAAGGGGAGGTGGGAAACGAGAAGCCGGAAACGCGAAGCGAGAAAGGGGAAGCGGGAAATGGGAATGCGGAAAGGGGAAGGGGTTACGTGGCGCGATGGAGCGTGTGGGTACCTGGCGAGTCTGGCGGTGGCGATGTTGACGATGTGGTCGCACTCCGCGTCCGACAGGAAGCTCTTATACAGAAACGCGCGCGGCTCCTTATCGGATAGTCGCACCACCCTGCTGAGATCGATCCCCGCCGATTCCTGTGCGCGACGAGGAGGAGAGAGGGAGGAGGAGAGGGAGGGGGGAGGAGGAGGAGTTTGCCTGAAACAGCACGGCAGAATCGGTTGTTGTAAGACGGGTTGCATCCGGACATGTTGGCAGGGCGATGGACGGAGAGCAATGCGAATGAGTCGATTACTACCGAGAGCGCGGGGCGACGGGTGTTTCTGGCACTTACGACGTCCTTGGCGGGTCCGACCTTCAATCCTGCGGTGAGCACGTCGGCTGGGCTGACCGTAAGATCGAACGACGAGGCGCGCGCGACGAGGGACAGAAGCAGCAGAGTCGCAACAATCGAGTGCGCAGCCATGTCAATAGCGAGTCACGTGTACGATGGTCAACTAACCTATATCATGAGATTATGAACGGGTTAAAGAAGGTGATTCTGAACAAGTCTGGCAATGGTGGAGCACATCAAAAGAGAGATAATGCTGAATGTCAAGAATGGGTGCTGCTGCTGTTGCTTGTGTGTTTCTAGCGCTGTGCTGCCTGCTCGATGATCACACTTGTAAAATATATCCCCTGTCATCCCACTAAACCGTATCTCGCCCCGACCCAGCCCACTTCACATCAAGATCATAAAGGGCAACGCTGAAATCTCCAGATTCACGAAGCGAAGCTCGCACGACATTTTGTCGAAGCAAAACGAATTAGAATGCCACGGTAACTCGTCGTTGAAGATCCTTGCCAGCTTGGAAGGTGGCACAGCCAGCACAGCAATGGAGGCGGGAATCTTGAAGACAATGGGGGTACATGAAACAATTTCTATAAACTGCTTTTACGATATTGAACAAGGTGCAGGAATATTGTAAGAAATTTTCTCGACATTCCTTAGCGCATCCTGCAACATCGCGTACAGCAGCAGCCGTTGTTCGCCCAAGACTGCTAACGGGGATTCGCCGACTTCGCGCGCACTGTTTCACCAAACCATGCACCGCTGCTGGCCCGGCCGTGTCGGCCTACGCTTTGGGACTAGCCCGAGCCTCGATGCCAGCGTAGCACTAGCTAGCTCGCACGCACCGCGTTACCGTTTGCATGTTTCGCGTATAAATGTTTGCTCATGCTTTCGCTCACATTTTGTATTCGTTTGACACCTTTGTGCGATCCTCGCTACCTCGATTCATTGCACCCGTAACACTTGGTTATCAATGCAACTTTTGATTTTTCACTCGAAGGGACTCACGCACCTTAGCCCCTAGGAGCCACTGTCCTCGCGTTTACTCGTAAACGCGTGCAGCCACGACTGCGCCTAGACTAAGCTGAGCCGACGTCCTTCATAATGGCTGACCATATCGACTTCACGACACTCACGCAGGACCGCTTGAACGAGCTGCTGCGACAACTGCACGAAAACTCTGAAGAAATCGCGGCGCTGACGGCGGAACGCATCTCCCTGCAGAATGACGTCGCACGAGCACAACAAGCGCAATCACAAGCACCTGGCACTCCGGTACAGCCCGCACCACAGGCATCACAACGCGGAAGTGTGGGGCAACCCGCGAGCGCGGCCAGTGATGGCGTCGTCCGCCACGATGGAGACGACGATCACGGCACGACACACCGCGTAGCGACGAATGCAGCCAGGAGTCAACATCGCGTAACGATTTTTGTGCCGGCTGGCGAATCAGCACTGCCGTCGCCGATGCTGCTGAAGCCGCAGCGTCCGCCATGCTTTGACCCGAGTCAACGGGGTGGTCCTATCGTTCAGGCGTGGTTGTTCACAATGAAAGTTTTTTTTCGACGCCAACTACGTCTCGGAGGATACGGCAAAAATTCGCTACGCCGTGTCGCTGCTGCGAGGACCCGCCATGGATTGGTGGCGCGTCATCGTCACGAAGCCGACGGACTACGCGACTCTACCGACACAGGAAGGACAAACCGGACTTTGGGCACCGTCATATTTCGTGGAGGTGCCCCAATATCGCACGTGGGACGCGTGGTGCGCAGGTCTGCGCGCTCGATTTGAGCCAATCGCGGCTTCGATCGCGGCGCGACAGAAGCTCCGCACTTGGTGCCAACTCGGTTCCGTCCATGACTACACCAGCGGGTTTCTGGCGCTATGCGAGCAAGTGGGATACACGGACGAGAGCGAACGCATCGACCACTACATCGGCGGCCTGAAGCACGACATCGCTCAGGAAATTCAGCTTCGCGGCGTCACCGATTTTCAAGAGATTCTCGCTATGGCGGAGAAGCTTGATTTTTTCCGCCGACCGAGACCGGGGTCCTACGGAAGCAGCAGTAACCGGGGACATCGATCTCGTGGGACGAACGAGGGCGCTACGATACGTGTCGTCACTGCGAATGCCGCTGCCGCAGTGTTCAAAGGGCGTTGCTTCGCGTGCAATCGGCCGGGACACCGTAAGAGCGAGTGCCCGGAAAACGCTAAGGGAAAGGGGGAAGCAGAGTAGCAGAAACAGACCAAGCAGCAGGGAAACGCTGGGAGTCAGTAGCAGATGGGCCCTCTATTGACAGGTCATGCCGCTCGCCCGACCCAACCGGCCCTCACCGAGTGATTGTGCCGGTTCACGAAATCGACCACACTCGACCGAATAAGGAGAGTACTACGGTAGACAACCCCATACTACTTAGTGGGAAAATCGGGACGGACTTAATTAAAAATACTCATAGACAAGGGAGCCAGCCATTGCCTGATCAACACAGCCACAGCACGAAAACTGAGACTACCACTGGACAGGTGTTTACCTGAGATCGACGCAAGACTGGTTGACGGCACGCCACTGGCGATACGGGAACGCGTAGACCGGGTTCAGATTCGATGCGGGGGTAACTTCACGTTTACTCAGGAAATGCTCGCGACAACCCTCGACGGAACCGACATCTTGTTGTTTCTGCTCTACGCAACTTCCCGTCGACAAGGCACTTGTCGAGGGGAGCAAATCGGCGTCGAAATCGGGCCTTGCGGGTCGACGAAATTGGAGAAAATGACGTTTCGACGAAACGCTGGTCGACAGAATTAAGCTTGAACGAGGCATCGTCGAGCAGAGAAATTCTGGTCGACCAAAAGTACTTGTCTCAAAAAATCACAATGTGCACGAATTTCGACCCATCGCGAAACAGCAAATTTCGACCAATCAGAGCATTTCGGAAATTGTACTCCCCAGGAGATTTCGAATCAGTAAGGAAACTGAACCTGAAACACGTTTTTACTAACAGTAAAAACGTAAACAACTCTGAACGTTGGAAACCTGAGAAGCTGCCAACTCAGGAGAAAGACACATATGCTTGTCGTTTCACCCGGCGTTGCTAACTCGGAAAGGTCGAGCGTTAGTCGAGGAACGTTTCTCCAGGGTTCAATTTGCTTGCTATTTGGGATCCCCTTGTACCGTAATCTTGTTCTATCAATTTTCCTTGGTGAAACTATGCTCGAATTCTACTAAGTCATTCAAACACTCTGTCCAGAATCACTGCCAAAACTCTGACCGTGCGTCACACGCAATTCAGCTCTCCCTTGGAACAGAATTCTCTGCATGGTGCGGTGGAACGACCCCGCATCAGAACCTTCATATTAGACAACATTTCGCTCTAAACCTAAGTCGTTGTAGGCCGCAACCATCTAGACCGCCATGGACGACCAAGGAGTCGATGCTGGAGTAGAGGATACTCTTCAGGCGCGGTTGGATGCTGTTCGCCATGAGGCTGGCGGGTACGGCGAGGCGGACTTGGAGATTTTTCTCCCTGGAACTCGTGCGCAGTGTGTCAAATGCCATATCTGCTACAGTTTGTTTAGGCTGTAGTGGGGTAGTTACTATGGGGTACAGTGAGTTTAGGGTTTCCTACTTGTATTCAACTCTTTCCTAGTGCAATCACTCTTGTTCATTCTGAAATGGTATCACGAGCCTAGGTTGCCACCTAGGACCGCTTACTACTACGGGCCCACTATTCCGCTAGAAGCGCCCTCGTGCGCCCTACCTTACGTGCGCCCTCGTGCGCCTTTCTCTGCTCGTGCGCCCTCGTGTGCCTTCTTCTGCTAGTGCGCCCTCGCGCGCCCCGCCCTTCGTTCTGCCCGCGCGCCGTCCTGCAGCCCTCGCGCTGCCTCGTGCTGCCCTAGGCCAGTGCGCCGCCCCTGCAAGCTAGTAAGGCCCTCGAGCCGCCCCTGCAGGTCCGTCAGGCCCCCGAGCCGCCTCTGCAGACCCGTCAGGCCCCCGAGCCGGCTCTGCCGGCCCGTCAGGCCCGAGAGCCGCCCCTGCAGGCCCGTCAGGTCGGCGCGCTGCCACTGCAGGACCACGCCGCCCGCGCGCAACCTCTGCCCGACCGCGCGCCGCCCCTGCAGGCCCTCGCCGCCCGCACACAGCCTCTGCAGGCCCGTCAGGCCAACGCGCGACCCCGTCAGGTCGCTGTTGCGGCCCCGTCAGGCCGCGGTCGAGGCCCCGCCTTGTCACTGGCGCGGCCCCACCCTGCCGCGGTCGCGGCCCCGCCCTGCCGCCGACGCGGACGCGGCCCCGCCCTGCAGTGACGCGGCCTCGCCAGCCCTACAGCTGACGCGGCCGCGCCCTACTGCTGACGCGGCCGCGACCTTCTACTGACGCGGCCGCGCCCAGCTGCCCGCCGCGTCGCCCTGCCCGCGGCGTCGCCCCTGCCCGCCGCGTCGCCCTGCCCGCGGCGTCGCCCTGCCCGCAGCGTCACCCTGCCCGCGGCGTCGGCCCTGCCCGCCGCGTCGCCCTGCCCGCCGCGTCGCCCCTGCCCGCCGCGTCGCCCTGCCCGCCGCGTCGCCCTGCCCGCGGCGTCGCCCCTGCCCGCCGCGTCGCCCTGCCCGCCGCGTCACCCCTGCCCGCGGCGTTGCCCCTGCCCGCCGCGTCGCCCTACCCTACCCCGCGCCTGGCCCCTGGAGCAGCCGCAGTTGGAGCAGCCGCCCCTGGCCCCTGGAGCAGCCGCCACTGCAGCAGCCGCCCCTGGCCCCTGGAGCAGCCGCACTTGCAGCCGCCCCTGGCCCTTGGAGCGGCCGCCCCTGCAGCAGCCGCCCCTGGCCATTGGAGCAGCCGCCGCTGCAGGAGCCGCCCCTGGCCCCTGGAGCAGCCGCCCCTGGAGCAGCCGCCACTGCAGCAGCCGCCCCTGGCCCCTGGAGCAGCCGCCCCTGCAGCAGCGACCGTCGCGGCCCTGTCCTTGCCCTGCACCAGCTGCCGTAGCGGCCCAGTCTCGCCCTGCAACAACTGCCGCGGTCGCGGCCCCGCCCTGCCGCTGTAGCGGCCCCGCAGTCGCCTCCGTCGTGCGCCTGCCCTTCCCACCACTGGTGAGCACTGCCCTGCCCGTGCTGCTACTGCTGTTCCTGCTGCTGCTATTTGCTTCTAC